GGGGGTGCCGCGGTGTCCCGGGGGTGCCGCGGTGTCCCGGGGGTGTCCCGAGGGAAAGGATATGGGTTACAGACCAGCCTGAGGCACCAGCTGCGCGGGCGGGTGGTTTGCTTGAGGCAGAAGAAGGCGGTGGGTGCCAGCGCCGGGTAAGGCACCTGCTCCTCCTCCTCGGAGCCCAGCTCGGCGGGCGGCTCTCGGCCGGGGGAGCCGCTGCCGGAGCCGGAGCCGCTGCCGGAGCCGCTGCCGGAGCCGCTGCCGGCATCCTCGGGCGGCTGCTCGGCGGGGCGGCGCGGCGCCGGCAGCGCCGTGATGGGCACCCGCACCTCGGCCGGGCGCGGCGGCTCCCGGCTCTCGCCGGCGCTCATGGTCGCGGCCAGCGGCACCTGCGGGGCGAGGGCAGCGGGTCAGGGCCGGGCCCCCGGCCCCGCCGCTCCCGGGGATGCTCCGCCGGGTCCCGGCGCTCCAGCCACAACAAAGGCGGGCGGGGGGAGGTCGAGCCTCCGCCCGGGCGCGGCCGCTGCCGCCCCGCAAAGCGAGCTGGGGGTGCCCCCCACCCTTTGGGGAGAGCCCGGAGGAGCCTCCTGGCGTTTGGGTTTGGGGGGATGGAGGATTCCTGCGGGGTGTCCTACCTTAGCGGTGTCCCCAGGGGCATAGCCGTGCCTTGCAGCTCACATGGGACCGGCGACAATCGCGGCTCCGGGGGGTGGCCGAGCCCCCCCAGCCCACCCAGGCACGGTGACACCCCCAAAATCCAGCGAGGGGAGGGGGAAGGGAGGGGTTGGGGCTCGGCGTGCGGCGCCCGCCCGCGGGGATGGAGGATGGAGGAAGGCTGGGGAGAGGAGGAGGAGGAGGAGGAGGAGGAAGAGCAGGAGAAGGAGGAGGAAGAGGAGGTGGCGGGGGCCCTTCCCGAGCCTCTCCCGACGGTAAATCCCAAGGAGCGAGGAGGAGGCAGCTCCGCCGAGCTTCGCCCGTGCCCAACAGGAAACTTCGGATTTACCGGGGGAGGAGGGAGAGCGAGGGGAGGGCAGAGCGGGGGCGGCGGGGCGGGGGCCGGGAGGAGCCGGGGCAGCCCCGCATCGCCCCCTCCGCCGCCTTTGTTCGGGCTCCGCGCGGCGCTGCGGGACCGGAGGGCACCCATGGGTGGGGGGCGACCAGCCGGGGACCCTCCCAAAGCATCCCCGGGCGGGCGGAGAGGATTTGGAGCGGGCGCTGCGCGTTTGGTTCCGCTCCATCCCGCGAGGGCTGCGCGGCTCCGGCAGCTCCAAGGTGGGGAGATCCCAAAAAGAGGGGGATGCGTCCCTAAAAAGGGAGATGGAGCCCTAAAAAAAGGCGGATCGCCCCTCCCGGAGCACCCCCAGCCCCTGGCGGAGCCCAGGCTGGAGGTAGGAGCGGTTTAATAACTAAGCTCGGCTCTAAGCTCGCAGCTCAGCTGCTCCAGGGTCTAACTCCCAAAAAACTCCCCGGGATCCCAGGAAACAGCTCAGGGAAAGTCCTCGCAGGCTCCAGCCCTTCAACTCCGCTCGGGAAGTTTTATCCCTTTGAATTCCTCGGGATTCCGTGAATTCTCTCAGGTTGGGGGCGCGGGGATGGGATTGAAATCCGGGAGTGGATGGGTTCCCGTGCCCTGGAATGTTTTCAGGAGTTCATTATCCAGCAGCACATTCCATTTGCAAATGCAGCTCCCGATGTTCCTCCCGGTTAATAACTGGGAATTGATCGGGAAGAAAGCTCAGGCGGCTTTCAAAGCACCCAAAGCTGAGCCTAATGGGGCTCCTAAAGAGCTGGGCTCCAGCGGCGATCCCAAGGTTTTATGGGATGTTCCCAGGTTGGGATGAACAGGGTGTGGCGATTTTAGTGGGGGACACGAAGGGAAAAGCCCGGCCAAGCAGGAGGGAGAGGAATGGAAAAGACCTCGAGGACGGAATCCAAGCGTTCCCAAAAAGTCAGCAGGGCGATCCAACCTGTCTGCAGGGGCTGCCTGTGGGAATGCCACGGGGACAGGAGGGATGTGGGATGAAGGACTGGGATGAGGCACATGGGAAAATCCAAAGGGAATCACCAGGATCTCCTTTCAGTTGAATTCCGCTTGAATTCCTTCCCTGGGGTTGAATTCCCTCTGTTTCCCGCCCTTCCTGCCGACGTTTTCCATGAAAACCGGGCTGAGTTTGTGGGAATTCTGAAGGATTTGGGGGTTCCAGCTCACCTGGGGGTCTCAGCCACATTGTTTCCCAAGCTTTTAGGATTCCTGACTCTGGGAAAGAGAATTCCAGAATGATGAGGAGGATCCTTGCTCCGGCCAAATCCCTGGAATTGTTCAAGGATGGGGCTTGGAGCATCCTGGAATAGTGGAAGGTGTCTGAGTGGGAAAAAAAAAAAATCAACATTTTAACTCATTCCAACCTAATGGAATTAACTCTGGAATAAACAGAGCAGGATCTGCTCTGCTCCTCCCAATTCCTTGTGGGATCCTCAGGAATTATGGAAGGGAATAAATCCTCATGGAGGAAAGCGTGGGTGCCTTTCCTCCAGGGATGGATTTGGGGATGGATTCAGCATTCCCGGGAGCATCCTGCTCTCCTGACATCCCACTGCTTTGGGATGGGGTCAAGGCACGTCCTGTTTCCCTCTAAAAGTCTGTCCTGAGCTGGAGAACTCCAGAGTGGGAAACTCCAGAAGAGCTCCATGAACTCCCAGCCACATCTTCCCTCAGGAATTTAGGATTTGTCCTAATTAGCTGGGAGCAAAGTGTGGAATCTCCGATGCAATCCCTACTTTGCACCTTTTCCTTTTCCTTTTCCTTTTCCTTTTCCTTTTCCTTTTCCTTTTCCTTTTCCTTTTCCTTTTCCTTTTCCTTTTCCTTTTCCTTTTCCTTTTCCTTT